TGCAGCTAAATAGTTTTCACTGGATGATTCAATATCCAAAGAATTTTCCTAACGCACCTAAATTTACACAGTTAATTGTCTCAATTGCAGCCTGTGGAAAAGGGTTCCTACCCTTTGAACTTTCCACATTTTCTCACTTTAAAAATGTAAAGTTTGTTGTATTTTATTGGAATCTTCACACCATATTATAAATAAACAGGAGAAAATTTACTTTAAATGTCTTGTGATAAGATTCTGAGAAGTGTGGCACACATTTGTATTCATTCTGCTGAGTCAATACGTTGTGAAACCACTTTAATTAAATCTGATCACTGCTGCAAGTCTTTGTGTTTAGAGACAGAGTTTTTTTATCTTCTCCTGCCAAAAGTAAAAACTGTCACACTTAAAAAAAAAGTAGTGTTTTTACTTTTTTACTTGATTCTCTTAATTAAGGTGTGGACTTTAAATAAGGCCGTTCAGAACATGCCTATACTTCAATTTCAAGCATCATATTTAGGGTCATTATTATTTTAATAATTCATCTTTTTTTTAATTTATTTCATTTGGTTTGTAGCACTTTAAGATACTAATGCATAAACATAGTAAATAGGGAATATATATTTCTAAGTAACATTTATCAACAAACTGCCGGTGGCACACACAATTCACTCATTCCAAAAGCACAGACTGGTTTTGCACGTCTAAAGCTTTGCGATCTTTGCAGATCAACATGCACACTTATCAGATGTGCACTTTTGATTTTGCCCAATGCAGTTGAGTACCCCTTATGTGGGATCTTTGAAGACCAGGCCCATATTGCTTAGGCTAAATGGTTACATTCTTGTTTCATCTGAGCAGAGAATTTTCTTACACTTTTTGGATACGTCTGTTGTGAAACTGGCAAACTGGACATTCTATGGCTTTGGTTTCAATCGTGGCCTTCTTCTTGCCAGGTATCCATAAAGGCCAACTATGTGGGATGCATGACTAATAGTCTTCTCTGGCCAGAGCTGTGCAACTCCTCCAGAGGTACCGGGAAACACTCGGTGCTTTAATTTGCTTGTGGAAAAGTCATTTTAAAGTGGAGCTCAAGCTAATTTTCACTTTTTCCACACAAGTGAGGATAGAAAGCACTTTATAACAAAGGGAATTAATGCAAGCTCCCTACAGACTTATATTCACTTTAACAATTACGCTCTACTTTGTGTTGGTCTATAGTATAAAAGTTTTGTGATAATCTCTAAAGTTTTGGGTCATACTGTAACAAAAACTAAAATTAATACTCATAATAAAAAAGCACTATATGTATTGATTGAGAATTCATCCTACATCCCTGCTGAGCAACAAAGACCCATCCTAGCCTCGACAGTTGACATCTTCGCCTTCTATTTCTGCATTCTCCGTTTGCAGAAATCCCTGCAACATTTCCCAAATCTTGCCTAAGTCCATATGTTTATAAATGCTCTTTTTAGACACTGAATGTAAGCAAAGACACTCAGACTCAAATATGTGTGATACAAACGTCCCCGGATTCATTTTTCCATGGACTGAAACACACACCAGTTTGTTGCAACACAGCTTTTGGGCTAACGCTGATCCTAGCTGCCAGCATGACATGTCCTATGATGTCAATATGACAGCGTGTCACTGGGTTCTGTCAACATTTCCCTTGGCAAAAATCATTTTTAACGACCCGCCGATGGGTATTCACCACAACGTGGCACACGTGGTGGGAAAATCTGCTCTCACTGAGCTGTGATGTGGAGTAGGAGATATCTGCATCGCCACTGGGCCAGAAAGAATAATTTAGAAAATGATAGAAACATCCATCATGACTGCTAAGCTCCGCAACGTTTTGGTCCAGCTTTTTGACAGCTCACATTTTATGGGTTGTCAGTGATCTCATAAAAACGGCTGCTTTCTCAGAAGATTCCAGTGTCTGTGGCACTTCAGCTAATTTGTTCGAGCTCAACATGATGTACTAACCAAATGAAACTGAAACCAAATCCAACTCAAACACACAGCGCATGCCTTTTGTACAGCTCAACGCCGGCCAGCGTTGTTCGTTCGGATTTCTCATTAATCTGTTTCACACTTTGTCCTGATCAGTTGCTGAGTTTCCTGGTGAAGCTCTGTAAGTGTTTCACGTAAAGTGATAGGGGTGGGGAGGGAATCTCAAGGGATTCCCAACAAAGTCTTCAGTGTTTAGCAGGTAAATAATCAATGCTGACTTGTTCCTGTGAAGCAGGAAGATAAACAAGATCAAGCTTTCCTGTCTGCCTTTCAGAGGAGCGGGATATTTGAGGGCCTCTACTTAAGGTCAGGCTGGAAATAAAGGTGTCTTTAAGTTTTGTTTATTTTCCTTTATTCAACTCTTTTACGGCATCTGTAGTATATTTGTGCAGCTGAGTAAAATGATCTGAATGCCAATATATGTCACCCCGATAATAAGGTGTCAGACTGTCGCCCGGTGAGGGAAACGATTATTTTTCTCTCCTCACATAGAAAACAACAAACAAACAAGTAAAAAGGAACCTGACCAGAGAACAAGAGGACAGATTTACAGCCAGCCGGGGTTGCAGGTCATCCGGCTGGATGCTTTCTTGGAGTGGTCTTTTCTCTGTTTGCTCCTTTCTTTCTTTTAGGTGTCTCTTCGGCTCCCACCCCTCCCCCAGCATTCCTCTCTTTTGTTTATGCCATATAAATACAATCAGAGCGGCCTGCGGACCACACTGGTATACATTCTCTCTTTCTGTTGGTTTGTCCTTCACACGTACACATGTACGCAAACACACAAATACGTGGCTGGCACGCACACGGATACAAAAGGGGCTGTTGACAAAGTGTGGTGGGCTGGTTAGGGACCACCACTCAACACACACACACACACTTTGACACAGTAGTCTTATGTGGAGCAGCAATGACCGTCGGATGGGCTTTTATATGTCAGTGGAAAACTTAGGTATGTGGATCTGTGCTTAAGGCTGGTGAGAATATCAGGTTGATTTTTTAAGATAAAGTCCACTCTGCGACACACAGATGCTTTATCCACAACTCTGCTGCGAAACATGATCAAAGTGAGACATTGTAAAGGTAACTAGTGTTGCTCCGATGCCATTTTTTGGCCACGATACCTGGCTGTGCAGTATTGGCCGATACCGACATCATACCGTCACCATCTGTTGAAATTGATGTGTGCGTGTATTAATGAATAACTGCATGCTACTTGGATATAAAATATTTGCCATCATGGCTTTGTCCAGCTGCTGCCTACCTTTGTGAAGCAGGAAAAAGACTAATAGGAAGTGAATCCAGTAGAACTTTTTATTGCCTACAGGGAATGACTGACAATAGTTGAATAAACTTTTGGCTCTCAAAATGGTATCGGTGCCCTATTTGTCAGAACTTGCCGATACCGGTATCAGTATCGGTGCAACACTAAAGGTTCAATTCAATTCAATTTAGGTTATTTATATAGTGCCAATTCACAACACATGTCATCTCAAGGCACTTTACAGTTCACAAGGTAACACAGGAAAATGGAGAAAAAATGACAGTCTTGCAAGAATTTATACAACCTTTTTCTTTTTTATATATATAAAAAACGTGGAGTGGCAGCCTAGATGTTAGGGCATAGAGCTTGGAATTCTGAGGTTCTGAGTTCCCACAGACTGCCACTCTGGGTCTCTGAGCAAGACCCTTAACCCCCAATTGCTCTCCAGGCGTCCATGATGGCAGCTCACTGCTCCACAAGGAGATGAGTTAAATACAGAGGTAAATTTCTCCAATATAAGATCAATAAAGTTCAATTATATTATTATAAGTGTTTTATATATATATATAAGTTAAAATATTTCCACCTTATTCTACATTACAACCACCAGTTTTACTTAGGAGGGGTTTTATGCGAAAGACCAAATCAAACGTTAATGTATGAAAAAATTATGTATGGGCTTTTAAAACAGTGCAATTCATTATTGTTGCCTTTATTTTGAAAGGGCAGAGAGAAAGGCGAAAGCCGTGTGGCAAAGGTCCATGGGTCGGGATTCAAACCTGATGAAGTAGATGACCCGGCATGATTGTTGCACCCCCGCTGTGCAGCTCTATTTAGTTCACAAATCTGAACTTTATGAAAGATCCGTAACAATGAAGCTTTTTTTTTTTAAAGAAAACTATTAAACTTTCTGTTTTCAGTTTGGTCCAAATCATATAGAAGACCGAGAAAACGTGTGAATGAAAAGGTTTTGGTTAGAGGAAACCAAAATGGAACATTTTAAATGCTTGATGAGATAGAAAACAAGTGACTGTGTACCGCTGTGAGACAAGGTGATAGCACTATCATTACAGTTGGTTCGGTTTCCATCATCAGGGACACAAACTGGTTAGAAATGAGGGGAGGATAGATGTTAAGAGGTGGAGGGTATGTTTTGAACTTTAGCTGTCAGAGGTGGCTAAAGACTAGAAAATGGAGCAGATCCCCTTCCAGCAGGACAACAACCCCTAACATTCTGCCAGAATCTTCCTTTGTTATATCGCTTATATATAATGTGACAAAATGGGAAAAGGTTCAGTGGGTGTGAAGACTTTTGCAAGGCTCTACTAGTGGGAATGAGAAAAAAGAGAAGACAGCCAGCAGCAGGCTGGGAGACAGAGAGAAGAAAAAGAAAAAGAAGGGGATGGAAGCCAAGAAGAGTCTGTGTGGCCGAGCCAGGCCTCTGCACCAGTCTGTTGGTAAGGAAACACACAGGAATGTGTAGCTTTAGTTTAAGGCAGTTTGATGAAGATCCAGGGCTCAGATTTGTGGGGGTGCAAAGGCTGATGAAAGCAGTGCTACAACATGTTGCATCTCCCCAACATTCGGATGTCTTCCAAACTGCCCTGACGGTTAAACTGGATGATCTTTCTGAGGCATTTTAGAACAACCAGTCAGTTGTGATGAGCATTGAATGTGGTGTTGAGATGATGGACCATCTAAACCCATGTTCAGGAACAAGTTCATTTGAGCAGATTTAAGGACTGACCTGTGTGGCTGCGGATGTGAACCCTGAGCGTGCCGTTGCTGGCGAACTTTTGTCCACAGTAAGGGCAAATCTTCTCCTTCTCCCCTGTGTGAGTCTAGAGGAGAAACGATAAACAGACAGTTGGCAGATAATAGGAAAAAACATTCAGAAACCTTACTCTGATTCTTCCAGTACTCTGAAAACATTATATACTGTGACTGATGGATATTATTATTAGAAAATGTTTGAGCTTTTTTAGAAACTCATCACCCATTCATCCAACTGAATCTACTGCTTCATTTCTGTGGACAAAGCTATCCAGACACATCCACTTATTGTTCCTAAAGATTTTCCTAGTTAGAGCAGATGCATTTTCTGACATCAGCTCTGCAGGATCAGAGACAGCACACAGATGATGGAGATTTGCCAGGATCAAGAGCTCCTCTCTGCAAGGATGCAGGGGTGTGTTTTTAACCAACTCCTCCTTCTTTCTCTCCTCCTTTTATTCTCAAAAACCAGTACTGAGCTCTATGACCAAACCAGGCTGAACACGCAGCTCTCAGCTCTGGATTCCTGCTCCCAGACTGCAGTAAATTATGTGAAATAACCGTGAGACGGAAAGGCCCAAACTCAGAGCGACAGTTTCAACAGCAGTACAGCGGTACAGGAACACCTCCTCTCCGGGGCCCCATCCTTCTTTCCATCGCCCCACCGCGTCCCTCTTGACACCTCGGGTGTTTTGTTACAAAACCCGCATCCACACACACACATGCTCAGAGAGGAGCTGACACACACGCATGGACACGCAGACTCACACATAACAATGGACAAACAAATCCACTGATATGAACATATGCGTCCCAGATGCATCAATGCTGCAGAGTGCAGTTTGTGCAAAAGACAAACCCTCACCGGTATTTTACCTTCACACACAGAAAGCCCGAGGGAATGCTTGCAAATGGGAACATCGCAAGTGTGGAATTTATTGACGGTTGTTTGTAATTACAGCGTGGGGTTTTTTTTGTTCATTTTTTTTTTTTTTCAAATGCATAAACCAAAAATCAACCCAGCAATTTTCCTTCATTTGTGCATTCTTCCAGACGTGAGATTATCTGGTAGAACATGCACAGTGTAGCTGGCATGCATGTTCATGTTGACACGCACGCACCCTCTCATAAAACATGAACCAAGGCTCACTAAGGATACATCTAGTGCAACACAAGAAGCCTGCAAAATAATCCAGATAACTTGGAGCATGGCTGTAATGCATCAGCATCCAGAACGACTGCCGACTTTATTCTAATGTGGCACAAAAGGACCGTAAATAAGCCTTCATAATGCAAGTCATTTAAAGTCGTTCTTAACCATGGGATCTTGTTTTCTTCTTCTTTCTCCTGCAGGAGCACCCACTCAGTAAACTGACACTTGATTAAGCCTCCAGAGGCTATCAAGCTCTCATCTAATACTTGTGCATGTTGACAAAGGGCTTTGCCAACAACTGTGGAGAAGTTAGAGACTACTTAATGGTTTTATTTGTTCAGTTGTTGAGAACCCTTTGAAAAAACAAGAAAAGACGTAAAAAAAAAAAAATGGTGTAAGATAAACTGTGAAAGAGTTGAAAATAAAAATGCAATATCAGACACTGACATACAGTGCCTTACAAATGTATTGAATCCCTAAAGGTTTTTTCACATTTTTGCATCTAAGCCAGCACAAATTGTAAAATAGACTTTGGTCCAAACTTTATCTGGACTATTCTAAGAGAGGAAAACGCCTTAATCAAAAACAACATATTTCAGGTCTTTATTTGTTTTTTCTAGAGGTTTAGTCTTACAGCCACTAACAGGCTTTTTAAAAGATTGTCCTGCATTTCTTGCCATCTTTTTTTTCCCTTTAAACTACTACTTGTCCTGTGCTTGTTAAAAAAAACATCATCCCCACAGCATGATGCTGCCAACACCATGTTTCATTGGAACATTATAAGATGACAATTGTTCTGAGATGTTCAACCTTGCATTATAGTTAAATAATCAAATCCTGATTTTAGCTCCTCCAGTTTTCATCTGAAACATGGCTGTGTTGTTCTTCAATATTTACAATGCTTGTTTGTTCAATAGTGTTCTTGATTGAAAGCCTCTGAGGCAACAGCAGGTCTGCTGTATATAGACTAAGATTAAATTAAACACCAGTTAATCCGCCTCTCTGATTGGTTGCCCTGGATTTTCTACACAGGTATATATTGGTAAATGGGGCTAAACGCAATTGTGCAACGTACCATTCTGATTTTTAAGACATTTAGAAAATGTTATGCTCCTTTTCTTTGGTTTTATCATAAAGCGGTGCTTTATGTAGGTCTATTTCTTGAACTCACATTCAAATTAACTGATCTTAATGGTTGTAAAGTGACTATAAATTAAAAGTTAAAAGGCTTATGAATACAGTTAAAAAAGAAACTGCATTTATTTGATTTCCACAATTTTTAGGTGTTTATTTCTCCACAGAGAAGATGGATGCCATGATGGATGAGTAAAAAAAAGTTTTTATGTACAAAAGAAAAAGTCTGGCATTATGTTTTTGGCCAAGTTTGATCTCCTGCACATTGCATGTTATTGTAAATACTGTTACTGTTCCCCTACAGTTGGAAATGCGAGGGATTCTAAAGCTCTTAAGAGAAAGGGTAAACTTTTTATGTCAAAGCTCATATTACAATCAAATATCCAGGTTACAATGATATCTATGCTTCATTATTCAATGAATATATTTACTAAATGTTTGGCTTAAAGAGAAACACTTGTGCTCCACATCTGTGATGATATTTTGGGGAGCAGAGTTTGTATAAGCAGTTGCAGAGCTTTAAAGACTTCATTGAAGTGTTGTGGTCAAAAGAGGCAGATGTAAACACAGCCAGCAAGTTGTCGTCTCCTTGGCAGCCCGACTTTGATCAAGGCCAGGCCTCAGTCAGCCTCCAGACATGGTCAGCGGCGAGGCACATCAGAGTGGCTGTCTTCGGTCCTACTGTTGTGAGAGTTTTTCTTTGCTGTGAGCCAAGAACCTGCTTGGTTTCAATCTTGATCCATAAGCACGCTGGACGCCGTCAGATTTAGGGCTCATAATCTGCAGGGAGATCTTTTTGGAGCTTTGAAACCCTGCGGAGCTAATGGACTAACTGCCATTTTAAATCTAGAAAAGAATTCATTTTAAAAGCAGCAGAAATGAAGATGGATGACTGTACTGACTTCAATAATCTGCAATATTACTGAAGTTGACTGTATTGCTTTATGATGACAAGAATTCAGTTGGGATTTTAAACAGTTGAAGCAGTTTGGAGGAGGAAATGGACAACTTGAACCAGGTTTGGGTTATTTAATACAATCCCTCGCGTTGAGTAACACTGAATACTGTTAAATGCAAACCAGGAAAATGGAGAGAGTATGGTACAACTGAACACCTACTCTGAGATGACTCTGAGATGCAGATCCATAAGCAAATGGAAGAAGGTTCTCTCGTTTCACTTTTTTAAATGGGACTTTCTGACTTACTGCACATGTGAAATGCTAAAGGGCTGGTTATCCTCCCGCAGCAATGTGTCGCAGTGAGCTTGTTGCAGATATTTTTGATTTATGCCCAATATTGAAGCGTGGTCTGCACGTTATTCCACGCCACAACGCAAGAGGGACAATCACCGACTACCTGTGGGTCTAGATACGGCCGAGGCGGTGAGGAAGTGGGGGCAATTTTGTCCGACAACGGAGGAAGATGGGGGTGAAAAAGAGCGGGGATCCAGGTGGAAAAAGGGTCCCAGCATTCTCGCGCACCTCGCTTTTCTAGCTTGTCCATCTTCACGAGTCATTTTCCACAATGGTGGTCATACAAACAAAACAAGCCGGTAAGGTACCAAACAGAAAATACGCATAGTGTAGAGCAATGTAGATTTGGCCAATCAGGGGCCACCTGCCTGCGGCACTGTCTGCAGTCACCTACAATTTGGAAGAGGTGCAGCAGAGTGTCTGCGGAGGGGGCGAGGACTTTTCTGCGTTCGCCGCCACACCTACGCAGACAACCTAGTTTCGAAGTATATATCAGCTTTAAGTGTGAAAGAAATGGACAATGTAAATTAGCCTAAGTAGTTTATCTCTAAGACAAAACATGGTTGTATCAGCAAAAAGATGTAGGAATGTTTTCCCAGGTATAGGGATGATTAATGCAGCTTAACACTGGGCAATATGAACTGTGTGGGACAAGTTCCAACATGACAACAATCCACAACAACCAACAGAACGGCGTCCAGTTAGAATGGCCTAGACAAAGTTCAGCTCTCTTTCTGGCAACATCTTTAACCGTTATTTTATATTTAACATTCTCCAGATATTTTGGCTTTGTTTGAGTAATTTTTAATAAGGATTGTAAAAAATGATAGTTTTGAGTTACAAAAAAGGACTAATTTGCATAAAAATTGATTCAAGAAGCTATTGCCTCTGTGTTACATGCCAAATTTCTATTGTTTTACTTCCTTTGACATTTCTGTTAAGAACTACTTCATTATATGTATCAAAGTAAAACCTTTTTTATTCAACCTAGTAAAAATCACATGGATGATTGAGGCTGTAACATTATAAAAGTTCAAAGGGCAGTTTCTCAAAAGAGAAAAAGAAGAAAAAAAAAATGAAATGTAAGGTTTGATAAGAATGCGCCCAGTTTCTTCTGTTTGAACCTTACGTGTTTCAAACAAGTACAAGCACAATTTCCTGTGAACTCAGTCAAAAGAAGCTGCAGACATGTAATGGCTGTGTGTGATTGAAGCCGCCTGGCTTGAGCCCTTTCCACCCACCTTCTTATGGCTCTTCAGGACAGAGGGGGTGACAAAGGCCTTCTCACAGAGGTCACACTTGTACTTCTTGTGGCCGTCGTGCACCACCTGGATGTGGACGTTCAGCGTATCCTTTCTCTTAAAGGTGGCGTCGCACTGGTCACATTTGAATGTCCTTTCACCTGCAGCGAGGACAGCGGATCGTTTTAAAGGGACCTACTTTATGTTGGCTATTGTTGTTGCATCAAAGGACACAGGTCATCCAAACAGCAAGCGGGGACCCAATTTCACCGAGCAATTGTGTAGACTGAAAACTATAAACAGAGGGTTTTTTTCATTGTACCAGACAGAATGGTTTTGCTTCACTTTTCACTGAAAACATACCGTTTTAATAATTGCTCTGCTCAAAAGAGCTGGAACGGCAGTCAGACAGTATGCAGACGACCTCAACTGCTTGCAATAAGGAACCAGCTCTCTGCCTCAACACAACGGCCTCTATTGTTGGAGAGTCCATGTTTCCATTATATGGAGATCATTTCATTTCCACAGAGTTCTTCACACGGAGGCAGCAAGTGGTTTCCAGCGTGTGCTCGTTCTCGGTCTACCGCGCCCGGTGACGGTCAGTTCAATAAGACAGAACACCAGTGGGAAACTGAGGTTCAGTCTGTTTTAAATCAGTCAGATGTTTGCCTGGTGGTAATAAATGTCGCGGGCAGATTGTATTAGAATGAACACTCAATTCTATTGAGATTTTTGCTGAATATCAGGAAATGCATGTTTCCAAAAGTCGAGTCAGTAATCTAAACACACTGAAACGCCTACAATTGTTTTTTTCTTTAAGCCTGAAAACAATAACGCAGGTGGATTTGTAAAGTCCCTCATTCAAAGAACATATATGATGATTTATATTAATAGATTTCTCCTTTATGAATTAAATTGCAATGGTTTACTTGATGGGTGCCTTTTACGTCACATTTTAGATGTTTCTGATCACCACGTTAATTGCAAAATCAAACAAAGCAGTTTCAAAATTATTTTATCATGATTTTAGTATTTGCTTCTTTTTCACTTGCTTTACTCAAACCTTAATACTGCTGAACCAACAAAATAAAGAATAGACCTAATTAGAAACGGATACATTATAAGAAAATTAAGATCACCATCTAAAGTTCTGAAAGCCTATCCTTGGTTTAGGTCAGCGTTCATTAGTCAGCAATATGAGGAAAACTGGGCAAAAAACGCTAAACAAAAGGACACACAAACCTACCCACAATTAAACATGCTTCATACAACAAGGAATTTTACTTTGTTATCACTTAATGAAGATATTTTAAGTACAAAATACAACAAAAAATACAAAAAAATAGCTTTTTTTAGTATTAGGTTTCAGTCATTCTAGTTTTAACTTGTCTAGAGTTCAAAGCGTAAATAATTAAACTTCTCTTTTGATCATCAGGTCAAAAAAACATATCCTGATTAAACCAATAATACTTGAACATGTAAGTGTTCATATTCTAAAAGCAAAATAAACACAACTATATTTATTAAAATGGGCTGCTGCTGCTTTATATACAGTAAAATGCTGTGAGGGGAAAAGTCTGTAATTATCTTTAATTATCTGTTCCTTTTACACACTTCCTCTGAGTTAAGAGAAGCTATTGAGAAACAGCTTGTTTTGTTCTTAGAAGGTAATAATATTTTCTATACTGGTGAGTGTTTATAGTAGCTCTTAGACGATATCAAACCAGAAATTAATAAAATAAAAAAAACTTTCTTGACAAAAAAAAGGGAAATATAGATATAATAGATGAGGTAGAGGTGGAATGGAGCATAACGCATTCTCTGCTCTTTAATGATTTTACCCTACCTCAGGTATTATGTAGAAGTCTGGGGTAAAGCCTACAGCACATCACTCAATCCTCTATGCACGCTATAGAGAGGAGAGCCATCAGAATAAAACATAAGGCTGGTTATCATGGCAACAATAATCCTTTATTCATTTATTGCTGTTTCTTTAAAAAAAACTTTTAAAATATGAAACTTACAATTCGTGTGTAAAGCTAGAAATGCCGCTACCTGACAGCATGCAGAAACTTCCTATTGAGAGAGTTTTAGATTAATCTATAAAATCTAACATGTCAGACAAATATGGAAGCATGTGCATTTCAAAAGAATTCCAGAAAGGTTAAAAAATAATCCACTGGAATTTGTTTCCAACTTTGATTATGTTTTGTTTCCCATTCAGGAAGCTTTTTCAATTCAAAATTTAGAATCCTTTGAATCCTTTTTGAATTGAAAAAAACTTCCTGGATGGGAAACGAAACATCATCAAACTTGGAAACAAAGTCCAGTGGATTGCTTTTAACTTTTTTGTAATGACTATGACCTGGATGACTGAGAATCTTCCCCAGCATATTTCAAAAGAATGATTGTGTGAAAGTATGGAAGAAATTAAGTTATGAATTAAAGTCGAAGAGTGAGGATGTTTAGAAAAAGGTTCAAACTGCTTTTCTTTAAAAGATATAAGACAGCAGCAGGAAGATGAACATCCATGGGTACTTTTAGTCACTATACTGTAGAAGAGTGTTTACATGCTTTCATTATGGTTGTGATATTGTCAGCTATTGGTAATAATGTATGAATGCAGATATGTGTAGGTTTGAGAATGTTTGTATGCTTGTTTACCAGTATATAAACTAATTTATTGGTTCACTTAATGGACATTTGGAGGAGTAAAGATACATAATTAAGTAAAAAATGTTCTGTTATCAGCCTTAATCAAAGTGAAAGCGCAAAATGTATGAAAAAAATTCTTGTAGTTTCATAATTGAAAATGTTTTTTTTTTTTCAAGAGATTGGAAACATTTATTTTTTCTTTATACAATCTATGATGTTAAGATTAGTGCAATAATGCAAAATTGATCACAGCTTTTAACAAGGTTTTCATCTGCTTACTTGTGTTTCAAAATGGTGCTGTGATATAAAATGAGGTGTATATGTTATTTGACTGATTTCACATTTTTCTGTGGCACTCATTAATTTATTTATTGCGAACAATAAAAGTACCACTCAAAATCAGTGTAGATTAATTGTTTTTCAATCTGAATCACTGATGGAGATGGAATTAGTGGAAGGCGAAAACCTTACATGAACATGAAAGGCAGGGATATGCATGGCAATAACAAACTTCCAGGAGAGATTAATAGTTCCAGTTGAACAGGTAAGGGGGGGCTGAACGTTAAAGGCAGAATAGTGGAAATGCACTTATAGAAAATAGATTAATAATGTCATTCTCTCTCCCACAGAGCTGTGAAATCTGGTAATATGCTGCCTGCCACCTGGGAAAGCAGCAGGAAATGCCTCAAGTTTTACAACCTCCTTTGTTATCTGGTTCTGTGTGAGAATTAGAACTGCACCCTGCCAAGCCTAAACCACAGTTTCAATCAGTATGATGATCTTAGAAGGAAAAGACACATGTTGTTAATCAGACACTAGGATAGGATGACAACTCCTAAAACTTTGGGACACTTGGGTATACAAACTCAATTCTGGTTTAAGATGAAGGTAACATTTTTGGACCACTGCTTGGGAGAATATAGACCTAGATCTTTTGTTTTTACTTTTTGGTCATCCATCCAACCATCCAACCATCCATCCTTTCGATTGAAGGGAAACAGGGTTGGAAACGTTAACGCCTCTCCCCCATTCACCCCTCTGGAGCACATTCTAGTCTTTAATTGACATGTTTCTAGTTGGATTGAAATAATAAATCAAAAGAAGGCATACATTGATACTTTTACCTATGAGTTTTCTTATTGCACCAAATAAATTCATTTTTTAGCCAGGAAGCAACCTAAACAATAGTGTATAGTGAGATTATGTTGCTTTTCAAAGAGGATGCAACAAATTCTTCCTTTTAGTTGCATTCAAATGCAATTACATGCCTCATTAGTCTGAGAAAATACACTCCAGAAATCTGCAGCTGCAGCTCTAATGAGTCTGGTATTGATAGTGCCATGTGTTTGCTACTGTTTGATAGCATTGGTTAACCTGAAATCAGTGTAATATTTATAACTTTTGAACCATCTTATCCAATGTATTCTTTGTTTTTTGGCAGCACCTAATTTGATTGTCTCACACTGGGAACTAAAGCAATTTTCTTTTAAGGTTCTCTTAAAGAGAAAATACCCCAGCTGACCATCCTGCTCAAGTATCAGAGAAAAAAACAGCAGGATTTCGACACAAAGGGCATTTTTAACAGTAGACAAGGATGCGTTGCTGAGGTTTTAGCTACCAGACCCTGGTTTATACGGTAAATATTTAAAACAAAAAAGATTTCTTAAGTAATGTGTGTTTGGAAAATATGGTAATGTGGTCTTTACTCTCTTAACCTCAAATTATTTCTCAGCAGTTAATTCTCATTTCAAATATGACTTAGCTTTAGACATTTGACAGAGAAATCAGCCTTAGATGAGTCAGTTTGATTGAGATTTGTGGCTGTAAAATGTCAAAAAGCTCATGTAAAAAGATTTGCAATAGACATGAGAGAATGTACATGAGAGAGCAAGCTTTCAAAAACAAGGTCACAACCAAACTTACTGTTGTGGATCAGAAGGTGGCGCTGCAGAGAGAAGGGGGTGCGGAACAGCGCTTTACACTCCTCACATTGAAATGGCCTTTCCTCGGAGTGGGTCTGCAGGGAAGAGAGGGCCATGATCAGCATTTATATAATGTGCAAGGCGAGCCGCCTCCTCCCTCAGCTGGGCCTTTAGGAAGGCTTTATCATCTGATTTTAATGGGTCAAATGTACCAGCAATACCCAGTTTGGTTTGCTGAGTTAATGAAGATGAGCGATTCGAGTTGGTTCTTGAGCAAAAGGCTTCTGTTTTACTTTGAACCTACTCTCACCATCCATCCACCCACCCAGCCAGCCGCCCATCAGTCTGAATGACACCTTAATCCCCAAAGCAAACACAAGAAACCCAGGAGGTTGGAAAGGGCCAGAGACCTCACAGATAACAACCAGCAACGAGACCCTGATTGATTACAGCAGCTAATGACTAACTTTTAAAGAAAACACTGGAGAAGACATTCAAGAAGAGGAACTCCTACTTTTACCCAACTTGTTAAAGGACCACCAATAGATCTGATTCTACATTTCCTCACCTTCTTGTGATTCTTGTAGACGTTGCGGTGAGCAAACTCTTTTCCACACAGCTTGCATTTGTACGGCTTATCCTCGCTGTGGATGATCTTATGAGCCGTCACCTGATCCAAACGCTTGAATGATCGACTGCAGATCTCGCAGGTGTACGGTCGCTTCTCTGAGGGATGCATTGATTGAACATTATATTTATACATGTATGAAAAGACATCTGGGAATACTTTAATTGTTGTCTGAGTTTAAATGAGAATAACTTTTTTCTCCTTTGGTCAGTTGGAATTCACAATTTAAATTCTATTCCCATAATGCCAGAAAACAACAAACTTCAGAATATATTTGATTATTTTCTAGAAAATCTGATTAAATCTGTGTTTAAGCAATTCTTGTATTGGTTTAAACAATGATATGCAATTAGGAAAATATATCACACAGTTCAGCAGTGAGGTGTAATCTGTAGATATATATGAACATAATTTGGGAATATATGGAGTGAAACCAGTCTTGTTGCAACTTGGATTAAGAGGCCACTGAATTAGGTAGATACAGTTCCTTCAAAAGCAAAAAGCCACAGTACAGTTCGTATATGCTCTCATAAACAAAGACAATTTGGTTTGGAGATAGAGCCTGTGGTCTGAGAGTCAAAGCTTGGCAGGTAGCAGGACTTTCACATTTATTGCAAAACTAAGCATAAAGCCAAATAAGTATCTAAAATGGATTTATAGACAAAAAAAGCAGAAAGTAAAAAACGTAAAGACAGCTAACAAACCGGACTCAGTAACAGCAGTTCTGTCAGGAGGAAAGGTTCAAAAGTCCACAAGTCATAGGTAAGGTGTGAAAGGAAGCTAAAAATATGTAATCCAGCTCATACAATTCAAAAGCACTGCTACCAAATAATCAGGAAATCTAGTCAAACTCGTATTCAGTATTGTAAAATTATAAAAACTGTCATTAGCAAAAGGGAAATACTTTTAGGCTACGATCACACTGCAGGCCTTGATGCTCAATTCAGATTTTTTTTTTTGCTTAATACGATTTTTTTGCGTTGCCGTTCATATTTCCAGATACATGCAACTTGTATGTGATCTCCTGTGTGAACTGCAGTCATACAACGCAGTCCCGCATGCGCTGTAGAGGACGCAATGATGTCACAGGCCAGCGTGCTCTGTGTTTATGGAAGTAAACATGAATGGTAGTGCCGCGCACATCTAACGATCCATTCCAACCGTAAAAACCCAATATTTTCAATATGGTTAAACATAAATACTGCTCTCAACATTATCGCCTGCCATGATTGTTGTTTTTCTTGCCGCTTCTGCGTAGCAAGATGCAGAATATTGACCACTGTCAGGTATTATTGTTTTTCAGATCGGATGAATGCAACCTGGCCGTTCAGACACAGGTCGCATTTGAAAAGATCAGATTCGTGACATATTCAGGACCACATACTGTAGCCAAGTGGCCTGGGTTGGATTGGAAAAATTCTGATCTGTGTTGTTCAGACAGCCATGAAAAGATCAGATCCAGGTCGCATATGGGCCAAAAAATTGGATTTGGGTCACTTCAGGCTGCAGTGTGAACGTAGTCTTAGTGTGGTTTAACTTCAGACAGAGAGACAAAAAAGGTTTTAAACAGTCAATGTAAATGAAGGCTGTGTCCGAATCTCCGCCCTAATCACTATATAGGGCACCATATAGTGGTTATGCCAATTTCAATGAGTGTCTGAATGTCTAGTGGATGAAAATGTAGTGGACTCAAAATTTTCCAAAATGCACCTTGAAAAGTAGTGATCATCCATGGTCACTAGATGAGCAGATATGTCTCGGAATGCTTTGCAGCCTTCTGTTGCCTATGGCTGTCACTGCCGACAGAGGAGACTAATAACAAAGATGGCGCAAACACCGTGCGGGAGGCGGTGTTATGTCACCAACGTGGAGTGAAAAGTAGTGATCCTCTGTCCGAACTATCAGTTAAATGAGTTCATTATAAAGTCCACTATATAGTCCCCACTGTATTAGGGGTTAGGGCGGATGTTCGGACACAGCCGCAGTGTTTTTCTTACCGGAATGTGTGATCATGTGGCGTTTGAGCTGGTTGGTTGAGATGAATTTTTTGTCACATGCGTGACACTCAAATATTTCGTGTATCTAAAACAGAAGAAAAAAATGACAATGAGTTGGTGTTTAAAGCATGCACAGGGCTGTGGCCTTTGGGAGCTCTGGAGTTTAATTCTGTGATGGTCAACTGTTACAAAGTCCTGACTGTTTTCATTAGACTGATGTCTGCACACAGAAAAGCAATTAAAGTGATGAAAAATCTCAATCCCTTCACTGCTTCTGTGCATGCTTCCAATAATAGCGCATTTAATAGTTCCCTCAGCTACAATAGCATATGCTAATGCAACACAGCTCCTCCTGTCAGTGCTGCTTCTGCAGAAGCTTGTTCAGCTAAATGATGATAATGGAGGTCTTAAGCTGCTTTTCAGCTAAAGTGTCATTATGGAAAGTTTGATTGCTCCTCGGCATGAGAAATACTTCATGCTCCGGTGGATTTGATTGAAGTTGTAAGAACATGCCACGCTATAGAGTTATAAATGTGTCATCTTTATAATAACACTTTATGTTTTGGTAGGGAAGGGTTTCTGTGGAACGTGTCAACCTTCCAGGAGAAAAGTAATTTGTCAAGACCTGTTTCGATGGTGACACAAATTCTGCCTCTCTGATCTTAATATTATGACAGGCATAACATCATTGATCATTGTGTCTGATTCAATTTGAATTACTGCCTTGTTGTTTATTGCCTTGCCCTGCAGAACTTGTCTAACTACAGCTGACATTGATGTCAATCTGGTTTATATCTGGATCTACATTAAATGAAAGAAAAGAAAATGCCCTGCAAAGGAAATCAGGTCCCTATAACCTTCCACCTTCCTTCTAATCAGAATTTGGAGTTTTAGGTGACAGGTCACTATAATCTAACACATAATTGTAAAGTGGAACAAAAAGGATATTTGGTTTCAAAATATTCTACAAAAGCTAACAGCAAATTTTCACATTAATTCTATTCAACCCCCTTTACTCTGTTGCTCCTAGATCTAATCCACTCAGCCAACAACCTTAAAAGAATAGTACACCCAAAACATGATTAGCCTTCATTTTCTACTCACCCCCATGCTGAACAACACTCTGGAGTACTTTTTTGATATCTCAAATGCATCTGGAGATCTGGGAGGCTTCTTGCTGTCTGCTGACATTCAAATAATGGAGGTCTATGGTGCCCGAGACAGAAAGGTCCATAAAAGTCCACAAAAAACGTGTCAATATTCCTGCATACTGCTCGTCCAATGGATTCCAAGTGTCCTGAGTGGGTAGCATCCAGAATTTACTCGTAACGAAGTCATTTAGAATGTTTTTAGAGCATAAACAGTAGTGTATAGGATTTCCTGAAAGCGTGCACCTGCGCGTTCATGACGCTACGGAAGCCGGCAAACCAAACCAGATGAAAGTGCGCATTCAGCGTCTGCTCTGCCAATAATGCAAGCGTAGAAGAAGAAATGTGCTGTTTACCTGTGCAAAGAAAGAAACAACGAAAGAAAAATGTCTGAGGACTTCAGTGTTGAGGAAGAGCACAAGTTCTTTGCCGAGCTGAATGCGCACTTTCGTCTGGTTTGGTCTGCCGCGGTTTCCGTAGACTCGTGAACGCGCTTTTAGGAAATCCTATACACTACTGTTTATGCTCTAAAAACATTCTAAATGACTTCGTTTCGAGTAAATTCTGGATGCTACCCACTCAGGACACTTGGAATACATTGGACGAGCAGTATGGAGGAATATTGACACGTTTTTTGTGGACTTTTATGGACCTTTCTGCCTCGGGCGCCATAGACCTCCATTATTTGAATGTCAGCAGACAGCAAGAAGCCTCCCAGATCTCCAGATGCATTTGAGATATCAAAAAAGTACTCCAGAGTGTTGTTCAGCATGGGGGTGAGTAGAAAATGAAGGCTAATCATGTTTTGGGTGTACTATTCCTTTAAGAGTTAGAAAGGTATGAATAAAACCAACTCATGCTCTCGGCAGGAGAATACTTCATGCTCGGGTGGATTTGATTGAAGTTGTAAGAACATGCCACGCTATAGAGTAATAAATGTGTCAGCTCTAATAAGCCCATGGGGCTTATTAGAGAACAAACAGCATTAAAACATCCAAGCATCACAGTAGACAGGTCAGGAAGAAACATTTCAAGACTTGATTAAGCTACAACACACCATGCAAAGTTAGAATCAAAATACCATTGTTAAATTGTTAAAGGGAGATTATTTTTACACTTTGTCATGTGGGGACAACAATCCATGTAGGGGAAAACATAAATGTGTGGAACAAGATCCTCTGATCAGATTAGACTAAAGTTATCCTTTAGGCCTCCATGCAAAACTACTGAATGTCTGCACACTGTCATGAAGACACCATCCACACATTGAAACATGTTGTTGGCCGTATCATGATGTTGGGGAGCCAACTTTTCAGAAACAGCAGAGAAAATGATTAGAACTAATGAGAATATGAATGGAGCTAAATAAAGGGTAGTGCTGGAGGAAAAAGCTGTGCTTAGGAAAAGGGCAGAGGTTCATCTTCCAACAGGAAAGTCCTTCTAAATAACATGTACACAGAGCTGCTATAAAATGGTTTAGATCAAAGCCATCGGAGAAATTATTGCAAAAACAGACAACTGCTGGTAAAAGATGCTCCCCGTCTGATCTCTCTCATCCTCAGTTACTTTGCTAATAATGTGGGCAAAAACCTGCTGAGAGCTGCAGTTGTAGGTGCAGCAAAAAGCCATTTTATAAACCCAAATAAAATCCGGACAAAACAAACAGCTTCTTTGTGGTTGTAACGTGATGATGTGTGAAGAGGTTCAGTGGGTTCTTTACAGGCATTTATATTCCCATTCAAATTTATATGAAATTTAGTCTTGATTATGAAAATAAATGCTCTTTGCTATTTTCTCTACTTACAGTGAAACTTCCAAGAAATCATTTTGTAAATTAGATATTATAATCAGATAGCAGATAACATAAAAGTCCATTAAGCATTCTATATTTAAACCCGTATAACAGGGGTCTTCAACGTTTTCTAGGCAAGATTCCCCAAACTGATGGTGAGATGGAGCAGGGACCCCCTAATTATATATATTGTATGAAATTCTGTTACATCAAACTGGTCCTATAGTCACTCTATTACATATGGAGTCATGTAACAAAAGTAATTTCTCCCTGGGATCATTAAAGTATTTCTGATTCTGACTCCTGGTTGATGGGACAGGTGTTGTGAATGAAACGGTGCCCAGCTTGAAAGAGCTCCTGTGTGTCGCTGAATGTGTGCATTGATGACTGAAAGACATCTTCTGCCTCCATTTATCGGTCTACTATCTGTTTACAGTGTGTTGAATACATGTTAATGTGTATTTCAAGACATTTCAATTATTGGAAAAAATTGCAGGGGTAAATATAAAAAAAAAGTCTATCAATCAACCAAAGCTTTCGCGACCTCCACACAGGACCTCCATGGACCCCCTAGGGGTTGCGGACCCCCTTTTAAAGACCTTCGCCATATAGCATTTGGGTGTGGTCAACTTATTTCAATCAAAAGCGTCTGTTTTGCCAAAGGTGATGTACTTTAAACTAATCACGGGTTTTCATGCCTAAAAACACAAAGGAAACTTCATGTCTTCCAGGGTTTGTTGGAAAAGGGGGATGGAAACACTTCTCCATCATTAGCAGTGAAATAGTGACTCAGACACATAGAACCATTTCACTGGCCACATAGGATCATCTTTACTATAACTGTAAAATGCACAGAAGATTTTGAACTCAAAGACAGCTCAACTAGATTATATGATCCCCTGAAGAACGGCCGTACTGCATGCTGCAGCTTCCAGGTGATTCAGAGTGTAGCAGAGTGTGGAATCAGAAGATAAACAAGCCAACAGGGTTTTATAAATGTCTGTCCTTTAATCTGGTTGATGGATTTTGACTACAGGAAATGACATTTCCAAATTACCTGATTTTTTTTATGAAAGTGAAGCAGTGACAGCTAGGGTGAATAACTGGAGACAGCTTGGATGCTCATCTATAACGCCGACCATCATTCAAAGAGCTGCATTGACCTGGCTGCAGAGCCAATCAGATTTACCAAACCTCCACAGCACTAAAAGTTACCCCGTTCAAATTCTTTTTATTTTTTTTTTTTTTCCAATATAAAC